AGAAAGAAAGAAAGAAAGAGTGAAGAAAAATGAATTAAAAAAAAAAAATTGAATAATACACACCAGGGTCTTATAAACTGCTGTAGCATGGGGGCCACCTCTTGAGGACAAACGTAACCAAGACGACCAATTGTTATTGCTAAGGTAACGCAATCACGGTTATACACCACCAAACGCCAACCAAGACATGAGCAAATGAGGGGGGAGGAGAAAAAATAAAGAAAAAACAACAAATAACTCAGAAACAGAAACCAACAGAATCTGTGTATGATAATAAACATAAGATTTCACCAGTGCTGTTTATTACCACCCCCTAAATAAGAGGCAGCAACATATATGGCATACTCTCCAAGGTAAAAGAAAAAATTAAAGTATGAGAGAACACCAAAAACACAATTTTAAATTCAAAGACTTTCCAATGTAAACAGCCATTCTGTCTCTCTTTAGAATAATAATTTACAGTAAATTAACCTCTACACATTTGAAGTTTTTATTTAAATGTACTACAATGGATATTTTTTAAGAAAGGAAATTACCTATTTTCCATATTAGTATCAAGTACTCAAAACATTTTATTTTATCCAATATCTAGAATTCAAGGTTTCTATAGACCTACTCTATCATTAAAAATACATTTCCAAATACTTTTACATATAATATATTGTGGTCTGTCTGAAAATCCTAAATATAACACTAATCAAATGTTTATCTTCTTCATAATTTTAGCAAGAATTGAATTTAAAATGGTTGCTAACTCAAAGCAACTGACTGTAGAACATTAATTCCTTAATCCTAGTATTTCTCCTGCTCACAAAGGTTTTCCTCATAAGATGTACAAGAATCTGACTTCTGATACGAAAGCATGAGGACACATGAAAAGCAAAATTGCTACACTGCATGATTAGGTAGTTTGGTTCTTTGTTCCAAGGGACAGACCAAAGAAAGTATCAGTATGCAAATGTGTTTTAATGGTGTTTGCTCAACTCACAAAAGATTAATCTTTAGAAAAAGGAGAGGGTGGGGAATAATGTATCAGAATTACTTGAAGCAAAATACATGAATAATACTAAAATCCAGCAGATTTGTATGAAGCAGAAAAAGGAAACCTATGTTCAAGGGACATACTATGCAACACTCTAATTAACAGGCATTTGTGAACAGTATCATGAAACATGCAATAAAGCAGATGATGCTTTCTCAAATAAAAGTTTGGTGTAGGATATCTTAACAATCTCTAACATATTAACTTCATGTGATGCAGCTCACTGTTAATTTTACTGGTATTACTCAATTCCCATATACAGTGTCTAAAATTTTTTAGTATCTTATAAAACTTCACTGAAGTTCAAATGAAAATACAATTTAAAGTTTTATCTGTAAATTCTTACAGGTAAGGGCTGAACAAGAAACAGAAGTCTGTCAAAGTGTGTTTTCACAATTCTTTTCATAATTAATTACACAGCAAGCTACAGCAAAACCAGTAATATTCTTGCACATATTAGTGGCACACAACAAAATATCCCACAACAAACTTATTATAAATACACCACACTCAACATTTATTTGCAGTTATCCATCCACATTTAAAATACTATTAAGAGAATTTAAAAAAACCCCAAAATCAGTGTTCAGATGCTTCCAAAAATTCTCTTAATGATGGAAGCATATATGCATTTAACTATTGGATGCCTTGCAGTTACAGGTATTACACATCTATCAGTGCAGAGAAGGGGAATCAGGGCAGGGGTAAGAAAAGCTTATATTGTTAGACTATTACAGTATTATACTGTTACAATATTCCATGGTATATTTCACATCTATGTATTTGATTCAAAATTTTATTTTCAAGGAGTAGTGCCTATAATACACCATAAAACTAGGTAAATTTTCCTTCAAGTTCACCTTCCATACTAAATGAGATAGAGGGGCAGAGAAAATGCAGCTTTTAGGTTTAGAGAATACAGAAGGAAAAAAATGCTTTGAAAAATCTCTCTCCAAATTATCTCTTGCTTTGCTCAAAAAGTATAACTGTACCATTGTACTTGCACCATATTCAATCGTGTCAGATATAGCAACTAAACTGTCATTTTCTTACAAGATGGTTTTCAAATAGAAGGAAAAAAATATTCAATTAGTAAAATAGTAAACAAAAAACCCATCATATTATCTATAAATTTTTGCTCAAGTATGGAAGGTGCTTTTCATACAAGGCCTCTATAAATGCAAAAGAAACAAGCCTCAGAAATTCCAATTCAGTAAGGCATTTGGGAATTACTCCCATTTTGGAATGCAAAGTCAGAATATTAAGTGTTCAGGTAACAGAAATTAAACATAATTTCAGTTATGAAATGGAAAAAACTGCCATCACAGATCTAGATTTTTTTGTATGATATTTTAAGTTTACCTAAAGAAAAGTGCACTTTTTTGTAGATTCAGAGAATTCATTGTTTTATATAGGCCAATTATATTTTTTTCAACACTAGACATATATATACAGTACACATGTAAAGACACGTATACATGAAAAAAAGTGGGAAATTAAGTCTTAAGTATTACTGCATACATTTGTCATATTTTATACATAAATAAAATAAGAATGATTAAATAGATGATAAATAGATACAATAAATGTTATAAAAGGAGAAAGCAATTAGAATCTAGATATATGATTCGCTGCAAGACTGAGACTTGTAAGATCTTGTGCAAAACAGAGTTGCTTTTGCTTATAAAAGCCAAGTACATAACAAAATCAGTTCTGGTGTGGTTCACCTACGCAGTTTCAAAAAATAATTATTTTTTAAAAAATCTTTTAAATTCCCTTGACCATCTACAGGTTATTTTTTGGGTACCTGTGTTCTCTAACAACGTCTTTGGTGTGTTGGGTCTGTTAATTATTTCTACAAGCTGGTGCAAGACCATTGGAATATAAGGCTGCATTTCTATACCTGAAACAACAATTAAAAAAAATCAGAAGAAAATGACCATTAATATACAGAATGTAAACAGAACATGTATATGTAACTCACTAACAAGGACAAGTAATTTAAATATTAACATAAAGGTATCACTTAAAAAAAAATTACCCAAAACACCAAGACAAATAATTTGTAATGAGCAGAGATTAAAAAAAAAAAAAAAAAATCTTACCCATCTGGATAGAGATTTCTCCAATTGCCCAGGTGGCATTATTACACACAGAAATGAATTCAGGGTTTAGATTGGTTCCCAAAATTGGCATGAAATCAGCTAGAAAGAAAAACATTTTAAAAACTCATGATACAACCATCTTGTCCTTTTCTTTAGGATTGTGAGGGGGGGAAAAAAGGGATGTTTAAGAAAAAGATAATGTAAACCTATTTAAATACTTGGAAAGTGTTACATTCAGATTAACAAGAGCTATATTCCAGCTATCTATCAGATTCATCTGGAATTTAGAACCTAAGCAGATAAATCCAAGTATTTTCAAATAATGCTTTTAGAATCTTCCTAAAAGGGTTTATCTTTATGTAACTTTTATGTAGAAATCTTCTCTCCTTCCCTTTCTCAGGTGAGAGGAGAGAGAGGGGAAGAGAAGGAAAAAAACCACAGCTACAAGCACTAGTTTTATCATATGGCTGAACATCCCCCAGATCACCTACATAACTATGTATTCAGCTACCCCTTAAATATCAACAAAGACTAGAAGGCAATTATATCTTTGATTAAACTTTAGAGAAAAGTGTGTCAAAAAGGTCATTATAACATCTGCCAAATAATTTTAAATTCCAAGCCTATCCAAACACTCATTTGGCAAGTGCATCTCAACAGTATCTGTGGGAAGAAAGACCAAACATTGTGGAAGTGTATCACTGATACTTTCCACAGAAATAAAAAACAAAGCAGAAAAACAAAGTAAAACCTTATCCTCTACCTCATTTTTGGATTTATATATTAGACATATTTTTACTTAACAATAAATTCTAGTAGAACAAAAAGAGCGATAAAAATTAAGAAGAAAAATCAACTTTTGCACTGTCCACAAGAAGAGGAACATGTTTTCTTTAAAGGGACAAAAGACTTTTACAGAAAATTACCATGTATCACACCTTAAAAAGGCAACCCACAGAACAAGGAGCATAACAATGTCTAATACAATCTCTTAGACATTTGGAAAACAAGTCATTAAACATGTAAAATCCACATACCGATGCAAGGTTTAACATGCTGAAAACATGCCTTTGTCAGGTCACCTAACAATGCAAAAGAACTCTGCCGTACCTCAGGCATTTTGTCCTAAAGAGAGGAAGAAAAAAATTACAATTCTAGACGAGTTGCTGATTCTCTGAATAAAGGACATGTGTAGATCAAACACGTTATTCATCTCACCTGCATGCATTGATACATTAGTGTCAGGATATTGCTGCGAGCCACTAGCTGTTCAATATTGCCTCCAAGTCCTTCAGCTAAACCACTGAGTAAATCAAGAGCCACAATCATGAAATCTTTATCTGGAGCCTCATATTGGTCTGGCTGAGCATTATGCAACTGTAAACAAATAAGTACATATTTTCAAAATTTTATTGGATTTTCTCAGAAGTATGATAAAAAAGCTGCAGAACTGCATCCTCAGGTAGATATTCAATTTCCCTGCACACCTCTAATTTTACATAGTTAACACTTTGGTTTAGTGAAGTAACATGGGAATAGTTATAGCAAAATACCATGGCTTGTGCAAGTGTCTTCTGCACCAGATTTACACAGCGCTGGTACACAGGTTCACAGTATGGAAGAAAGCCAGATTGCAAGGCAGTAGCAACTGACGACAGGCACTGGAATTAAAAAAAAAATGGAGAGAGATAAAGTGGTCACTACTTTTCTTCACATGCCTGAAGAGTCTTTTACTTGGGAGAGGCAATTTGGAACTTAGGATTTTAAGTACACCAACAAGTAACTGATTAAGTAAATGCTACCTAGAAAGGCAGTAACAATTCAGCTGTGCCAAGGCAACTATCAGCAAGTTGTTACTCGCTCCTGCATACACCAGTTGAGAAAATTTCTCAGCAGCAGCATCTTCTTAACAATTAGCCAAGAAAATGTATGCAAAACCAGTTATGATAATTCAGACAGCACTTACACTAATCTTGACCATGAACAAGCCCTAATATAACCTAAGAGTTACAAAACTAATTTTTTCTGGAGGTGTTTTCCTCTAGAGGTGCTTCACACACAGCAAGTAAAGAGCATTAGACTACATGGCCTGGTTCATACCTTCAGCTTGTCTAACAATAGTTTTAATGGAGGGATGAAGGAAGAGCAAGGAGAAAGAAGACAAGAATAAAAGGAGGATAGAACCTTTTTTGGTAAAAGAATCCTATCCAAGAAAACACTCCAAAATGGCAGAATAAAATCTAAATTATTTCAGCTAAACCTAAGGACATTTATTCAGTCATAAATTTTTTTTACCATGGTCAGAATATTTTTTCCCTAATGGAAAATAGCTAAAAATGTCAGCTTTTATGGTCATATTTCCTAGGAAGAACGCCTTTATTAAAAAAAGAAATTTCTAAAAAAAGTTGATAAAATATATTCACATTTTAACATTTACCTCTAATAAAGGGAAGAGATCTTTATCCTCATCCTTCAGCATGTTCCACTTCTGGATCAATGGAGGCATTAGCATCTGAATATATTCCTGTTTAGGATGAAAATGCTGCTAAAACACTTTACTGCTTACCACTCTATCTCAAAGTTAAAAAATAACTGAGATATACTTTTTCAAATAAAGGAACAAACAGGTGTACTGTAATTCAATCACTGTTGCAATTCATAGAAATATTTTAATACTAGATTTTACAATTTGTGTTTGATATTTTTTCCAAAAGCACTTAAGTATCTTTACAGAGGAGTATCTTCCTCCAAGTTTGGTTTTAGCATAGCTGCCCAGGTTATGTATCTGACTGCCCCAAGATGTACTGAAAACATTTTTATATTTACATTTTGGCTCTACATGTGCCACCTGCTTTTCTCAATCATTTTCTACTGCCTTGATGCTACAACCCTATATCCATGACCACAAGTTCTAAACTTCTTCCTCAAACTAACCATCCACAAAGAAATTTCCTATCCCTCCAGAAGGAGGCACTTAGTCCTTCTAGATAAAGTTTGATTCCTTGCCACTGCACAGCCACAGTCATAAGAACATTAAGCAAGGCACCTCTACAGTGCTGTTGCTTGCAGAAGGTATCCAAGGAGCCAATTGGTTTTCCTATGTCCAAGGATACAAAATTCTAATTGACTAAAGTCCCACCCTCATCAGGAGCTGTCATTTAGCTTCCTCCTGACGCTGTAAAACGTCAAGGTGGCCAGGCTCAGAGAGAGACTGAAAAACAGGTTATTGATGGTGTGGGGATCAAGATGGCAAGTAAAATAGAAACAACTAAAATCTTTTTTTTTCCTAGGGTGTATATGTAATTTGAAGTGCTATAGAGAAATAAAACAAGTTTCAATAATCATCATAAGATGCAAATATATGACATGTACATCTTCTGCTACATACATGTACACTAAAAATAACCCTACCACATTTGCCTGTGCTTTGTCCAAATGGGGTATCTATAGTGACATCATCTCTGAGCTAAAAAAACTTGAAGCATGAAGAAAACCATGATGAACAGCACATTTCACAACAAATCGCATACTTTTGCTTGTTTACTCAAAATGGCAAATATTTGTGTAGTGGGAAAATTATGTGCAGTCTATTTTATCTGTAAGCATGTCGCACTAATAAAAGGTACATGGAAATATCAGCATTTCTAGTTTATAACATAAAAAGCACACTACAAAAAACTCTGAACAAGTTTTTTAAATACAGTAACTCCTTCTACAGAACATAAGGTATACTCACTGGTTTATTTAGATGATGTCCTACAGAATCTGCTAGAGTTCCTATAGCATCATAAAGAATGAGCAGGTTTTTATGCTGGTATTTACTAAATGCGAAGACCAAAGTGTCAAGTATATATGCAAGGTAAGGAACAAGCTCTGTACAAGCCTCCTCTTCTAGAGTAGCAAAGGCACTGAAGGAAAATAAAACAGGTTAGTACCTTGGAAACAATGAAACAAGACAACTCCAAAATGCTCTACTTAACGTATTTCTGTTTTAACATAAAGCTGTATTTAAGTCCTCAAATTAATGTATGATATACTTCCAAAAAGGTAATACTTAAATAACTTTGATATTTTTTAACTGAACACAAAATCACCCATAAGGATCCAGCTTTTACATTGTGAAGAACAAAATTTTAATGTATTTCCATAAAACTCCTTAGGGAGTCTCCCACTAAAAAGAAAAGCATTAGCTAAAAAGCTACAATATACTAAGTAAAACAGAAGGAGCCTCAACAAAAGTTGATTATTTAAGTTAAAAATGGACCATTATCTTCAATGTACACAGTAGCTGCACCTAGACATTTTGATGCTGCTGTGCCAGTACAATACAAACATCACCTGGTACTGTCAGCTGTTTACTACACAGAAAAATACATAGAAAGACATGGAAAACTAAAAGCAAATACAGAGGATGAACAGTTTTAGCTGCACTTGGTCAAAGCACACATCATGACATCATGGAAACTTTTCACCTTGTCTATCCAGTGTTTCAACAGTAGAGTTAAGGAAACCCATCCAAAATGAAAGGAAACAAAAAAAATCCCCCTACACCAGAGACACTGTTTCAGAGAAACATTAAGGAAAGGGAAAAATTACGGAGCTTTTGAAGATATAGTGGCCTAGCTCTCTCAACAAGATTATTAGCTTATCTCTGCACTAAAATACATGCATCACTGCATGAGATAAACACTCTACTGTCTGCTACCAAATACAGAAATGGAGGTTTTAAACACAAGAGAACTGTGAACCCTAAATGGCTATCATCTTTACATCATTTATTTTATTATTTATTTTTTATTTTTTATTTTATTATTAAGCATTCTTTCAGAAAGGCATACAACTTGAGTAGAAAAATGTATTTCAGTAAAATATCATTCTGTGTGTCGTCAAGTAAAGGAGCAGTTTCTTGAAAGTACAGAAGTGAATGTTAGACATCTGCTACCATACAGAATTTAAGGAATAAAAACATACAGTATCCTATGACCAATCTCCAATTTGGTAGACATAAACAATGTATGCAACTACTCAGAGTTGAGATAAAGCTCTTTGCCGTTGTCCATGAAGGTTCACTGTATTTCCTTGCAATTAAAAAAGCTAGTAAATATGTTTTGACCTGGAACAACTCTACATTTTCCTTACAGTGAAGTTTCCCAGTTTTTTAGTTGCAACAGTAATTTTAGTGAATCTCTGCTCTAAAGAAAGTATCTCAAAACTTGCTCCAAGTCTGACAATGGACTTATAATAATAAAAAAAAATCAGGTGTACTGTAATTTTTAATATTTCCATTCTAGATTTCCTGGTTTCCATGGCCCATTGCACATCTGTCACAATTGCCAGGTGTGGTTATTTAACTACACCACAAAACAGCTGTGTTCAACTAAATGCAGATTTTCAGCCATGTGGATGAGGAAAGCTTGAAGAGAAGTGGAGAAGTGGAAGATTTTCCTTTGGCTATTTTTTTTGGTTTCTTGTTTGTTTTGCTTGTTTTTTGGGTTTTGCATTTGTTTTTTTTTAATAGAATAAATAGAAAAAACATTAAAGCTACCCAAACTTGCTAGCCAAATTTTTGCAGACAAAAAGGAAACAGTGTTTAATTTCTAAATCTTACTAAGTACATTTCATAAAGCCATTGTATCTGTTCTCAGGCAAGAATATAGATTCCTTTTGAGCAAAACTTAGCCCAAGAACCCTAAATTAATCACTCTCCTTAGGCACTATTGACATTTTGGGGTGGCTATTATTATTATTACTATTATTATTATTACTACTATTACTATTATTATTATGTTTCAAGTGTTCAGAGGCAGATGTAACTGCTACTTGAAGAAACATTGAAAGCTAGTTGTGTACATTCCAGTCTGACAAAAACTGACATGTAAAACTTTTTTGATGCAATAGGGAGTCCACACATTCCCATTCTGTTAATGTTGTGTCCACTAATTAAGCAGTAATTTTTATTTTTTTTAAAGAACTGGAGTGGGAGAAGGGAATCTTACCTCCCAGCATGTCTCTTCAAGAGAAGGGTAATATCCCTTGAAATAACCACAAGCAAAATGTTTTGGTCATGCTAAGTACAAACACTTTCAGTAATCCAATGATAGGACAGCTTTCCACTGTATTCAGTTCTGACCATGTTCACAGACATTTTTTAAAAAGGCCAAATTTCTGGTCAATGAAACAGCATATATTGAAAGTAAGTGTTGCAAACAGCTAATTTAGTGCAATCAATTATTTAAACTGCTGCTTTACATACTCTGAAAACAAACTGCACTAAGAGAAATAGATGTTAACTTTTTTCATGTTATTACAATTTGGGAGACAATTGCATCTACTCTAATTTAAGAGGAAGAGTAAGAGCTAGAAATGGAGTCACGCATTGACTGATTAAGGGCATGAAAATAGTTTCTCATGGTAAAAAAATGCAGTGTAATGGATAGTGATGTTTTCTAAAGCTTTGGCTTACCTGCAGGCAGCTTCTTGTACTCTCTTGTTGCTATCCAAGATACGCTTTAGCAACTCAGTCATTAATGGCTTCAAGTATGTGTCTGGGGGTTGACTAACTACCCAGTGTGCATAGCGACTAAGAGTCCAGCATGTAATGGAGCGCACAAGAGCCTTTTTGTCAGAGAGGCACTGAATAAGGTGAGGGATTAGCTCTGGAAGATATGGAATCATACCCTGCATGCAGCCTGGAAAGAAAAATGTAGCTATTGCAGTACCAGGATTAATGAAAAATTCCACTGTTTTCTGTTTCCTATGAGAGACATTTTCATTCTCTACCACGTAGGTATACAACATGCCATTAAAAATACAAATATTTTAACAAAGCAAGTCTAATTAATTTATATAAAGTTATAAAAAACCCCTCTTATGTAAATAATAATGATAATTATTATAATATCACATAATTAAATTATTAAAATTATTATATATTAATTAAATAAGCAATTAAAGTTATATTCTTTTCAATTACATTTCTACTTCAGTGCTTCCCCAATTTCCAGAAATACTTTTTTGAATGTAGTAAAGTACATCCAAATAAAGTTTCTGAAGCTCCTACTTCAGTCTACTCAAAATAAACAAGAAAATACCAAGCAGAGAAAGACTTGACAAGAAATCATCACATAAGAAAGGATTCCTTAGAAATTCAGATTTCTTATTTTTTTTCCTAAAATCATACCAATATTGACCAGGATTAAAATCTGCACCCTTCAGGTCAGCAAGGGCAATAAGACATTGAGATTTTCCAGAAGTACTAACTTCCACCTTGTCAGAGGTGGAAATCCAAACCAACTAAAACTTTTCTAATAACAGTAAAAAGAAGTATGTTCATTAGACAGTGAGGGAAAAAAAAGTTAATCTGGGCATGAACCCAAATCTACTTCTTTATCTTGCAAAAGGGACAAAGATGCTGGAACTTCAGCCAAAAGCTAAGCAAGACTGTGAGGAACTAAAAAAGAATGGAAGTTAACCTATTTTAATTGGAGGACTATCTACAAAAGGCATCTTAGTGTACTGAAGTCACAGAAATGGTCTTCGCCATTTCTGAAAACACTTAAAATCTAAGGCTAAAATTTATTAAATATTTCTCTTCTATGAAAACAAGCTAGTATTTTGAGAGACATCAAAACATCTATACTGCAAAGTTTAGAAAAGGATAAATAAAAGGAATCATGTAATCTGTTTAGCCTCCCAAACGTGCACCAATTTGAAAACTAAAAATAAAACAACTGCAGTACCTATCAGTAGATGAAGAGATTAATTACCAAAACCAAACCAGCTAAGGACAGACACTTGCTTGCCTTAGTAAGTTCACCCAAGCTACTTTAGAACCAATTTAAAAATCAGAAACCTGGTATGAACTGTTGCCTTACCTTCAGCAATTGCACCAAGAACAAGGATACCAGATTCTTTAACTACCCACTCGGGGTGGAAGAGCAATTCCTTCAAAAGTGGCAAGATGTGTGGTAGAAGTTCATCACGAAATACATTAGCTAGGACATCTAGAGCAGCAGCAGAACATTTCCCTGAAGAGAATTAACAGTGTTAATCTCTGCTTATTATACAAACACGCTTTTTAACTCTGAGCTGCCAGTGGATTCTCAGTGCACCAGGAGGGAACATACGTCCACTCCATTACACTACAGAGGGATCCACTGTGCTCCTGGGCAAGGCCACAGCTCTTAAAAAGCCATAATATAAATTCCTTCTTAATCTGCCATAAAGAATTGCACTGGTCTCATTTGTAAGCAATGCTGCTAAATTGTGAAGCTATGCTGGTGCTTCATCTCTGTTCAAACTGGAAGTCAAATATGGAACATTAGATATGTAATAGGGCACACAATTCTGATTTTCAGATAATACAAATTTTCTCAAATCCAAATAACATATGTCATTACACATTTTTGAAGTGTTCTACTCTTTCTCTTTTAGGCCACCATTCCTGAACAACTTCATCTTTCTCACCATTTTACTCAAAATCGTGTGCCACAGAGCATCTTATGTAATTTCAGCTTTCTCAGAAAATGCATATTTAATGCTGCAATCTCTACACACAGCAGTGACAAAAAGAATAATAAGAATATAAAACTACACTTTTTTTCCAAGATATAGCTTTACAGAAACAAGCATATTTGTACACATATTTTCAACAGCAGTAATTCTTCAGATATGACTCAGATACATCGATAAGCCTGAAGTTAAATTCACCTGTTGTGAAAACTTGTGGCCTTGGGGAAAAAGACCTATGTGGCTATGCCCACATCTCAAAGCATTATTCCACAATGAGTTTGTTTGCAAAGTAAATTCAAATCAGATTTGTCAGAATTTCACCAGATATTTTCTGTCACTGACCTTAAAAAACAGTTTGTGGTATTTTCTTTCCTTATAACATAGCCTATTAATCTAAAGGTCCTATGAACCTCCCAACAGGATATCTGAACTCTGGTTTCCTCAGAGCCATCTTCTACCTTCACAACTAAAGTACTTTACTGAGAAGTAAATTCCTCACTGACAAAAGAAATACCTGTGAGGGCCACAGGTAGTAGAATGTTCACATGGGAATAAAAACCAACCCAAACCAAACCAAATACAACCCAGTTTTAGAGGGAAGACTGAAATTAAAGAAAGCATTATTAAAGCTTGCTCCAGTTATCAATGTGCAAAGCTATTTTTTCTCTTTTTAAATTGAATTTAAACATGTGATACAGGAATTTTATTATTTCATAAAATATTAAGTCTGAAAGCTCAATTGAATTGTATAAAATAAATATTTGTTACTAAATCTGCCATATTCAAAATAAGCTTACAGATGGATAGCTTTTGCCAATACAAAGTCAAAGTGTCATCTCAAAGGCTCCCCCCTCCAACAAACCGAAAAAGCCTTGGTATTTCTTATACACAAATTTGTCTTTTTACTGTGCTTCTTGTATTATGCAAGTAGCTCTTATTCAAAGCTTTTCACATGTTACTTTGACCTACTTAAATTCCAGTCAGAAATAGTATCATCATCATCAAGTTCATCGTCATCATCGTCATCATCTTCAATACCATCTTCTTCATGTTGCTGAGCCACCGTCTTCGAACGATGGAAACGAGGCCTTATATCCTGCTCACTATCTGGAATAGCTTCATCTTCTTCAACATCCCCCTGTCATCAAATTGTTTTATTAGAAAAACTCGTCCAACTGTATTGCTCAAGAAAGTTAACAATGTAGTTTTAGTTCAAGATTTTGTAAGTTCAAGATTTTGTCAGTGTACCTGAGCTGCTCAACCAAAAAAATGTCACTGTTTCTGTGTTCTATTGCTGTATTTACCAGAAAAGCAATAGAAAGATACAAGGAAGAGAGGTATGCTCACCCCCAAAGTAACCTTCTTATCAAGACATTACACAATGGGAATGAAATAGAAAGAGGTGATTAAGAAATTTTGATACACAGACATAGGTAGTGATAGAAAAAGCTAGGTATTCAACCTAGAAGGCATTAGAATTAGTTCCGAACATTTTTAATGCTGAATTCTTGCAATAGTTCATGGTAATAATATCCCAGCTTTGCCTAAATTGTGTGGGAGGGGACTGGGACAAAGCAGGAGAGCCACAGATTATTTTCCAACAAACACGGCATCAGGTGCTTTTAGTATTTGCAACAGCATACTTTGCTCCAGAAAGTTAATTCTCCACTGAAGAGATGGTAGGCTAGGTCTGCCCACTCTGACCTGAATCATTATGATTTAGAGGTCAGAACATAACCAACTATTCCAACAAAGTAAAAGAAACTGGTGCTCACCTTCAACAGAATAATATCAATCTCTGAATATTTCATACCATTTACCAGCACAGGTATCAGCCTACAAAGAAATATTTATACATATTAAAGTAACACATAAAAAAGCAACAGTTTGAATTTATATGGGCCATACTTTTGGTTGTAACCTTCACCTCCCAACTCAAAAGAGAAATACCTTAGCCAGATAAAAAGAGATACCTAAACCAAGTCCCATGTCATAAGATTCATCAATACTTTGTAATGAGAAAAAGTGTTATTTCAAATTACAAACTTTTAAATAGAAGTAGTCCAATGACACAACTGATGAACTTATTTGGAAGGACCTTTCAGAAATTGCATCTATAGGTTTTTAGTAAGAATTCAAACTCCCATAATATACACGATAAATTGACTCTTGCCAATAGTACTTGTCACTTTATTTACTTGTCAATGAAGATTTTACCTCACTACTGTTAAAGATGGAGGCGGAACTACATTAATCTCTTCTATTATCTCATGATTACTTCAGTAAGACAAGCTTTCAACATTGCAGAAATCTTGACTAATCTATATTAGGATTTACTTAATTATTAAACAGATTATGGCTATAGAGCTCCAACTGTATAGATGTATAGCTAAAAAAGAACTAAGGAAAAAAGTAAAATACTTCCCATTAAAACATGTTCACCACAACAAAAGAAAAAATGTGTAAGAATATATAAGCCAAATGAAACTAATAACCACGGATGACACAGCAACAGTGACAGACCCAATGTTGCTATATTCTGCATGTATTGTTTTTGAAAGTGTCAGGCTTGCTCTAATAATCACACACTGCAGTGTCACATTATTTTCTAAACTTTAAATGAAGGAATAGTAAGTATAAACATTATATCATCAATTCATTGGCATTTCTGCAGCATACTTTGTGAAATATACATTTTATAAAAAAGCCTACAGGCGTAAAATGGAATAGATATTAGAAACCACATTTTAAGATCTTGTCTCACTTTTAATTTAACATACAGAATTTTAAGATTATCAAATACTGACAAGCTTATATAACTCCCTAGTCAAGCAGGACTCAACAATAAATAAGTTGCCTTAAACACACGTGACATTGAAAGATCATGGTGAAAAACATGATATGACTCTTAATAATTTATTTTTCTAGATATTTAAAAGCTTTTTTAAATTTTAAAAAATTAGTATGATGCTGTTGCAATGTCAAGGTTCATGTAGGCCAAAAGAGATTTAATACTAATAGTTGTTAACTATGTGGTGTGTGCTGGGAACTTCTATTATGTAGGATCTATCATTCTTTTGCCTTTTGAACTACAAAACCAGGAATTAAATCAGACCATTTTGAAATTTTAAAATAATTTTTTGTAACACATTCTCCTGGTTTTAACTCCTAGTCTTTCTCTGCAGCAGTGCATGTTTTAATCTCAATTTTATACTTTTTAATTGGTTAGGAAAACGAAAAATTTTGCTTTCTATTTTAATTACTTCAATGCTATTTTTGCTGAGAACGATGTGTCTCCTTGTCATTCAGTTCTTCCGCTCAAAATCTTGAGAGAACTCTGTCCATATTTAAAAAATCTTCGAAGAATAAATGAAAAGAAAGAGTTTTCATTTGATGGCAACACTGAAGAACTAATTTCCTGTTGTGAAAGATTTCAAATTAGTCTGGAGGAAGTTGCAAGCACTGTTGCAGAAAAAAATATATTTACATTACACACATGGATATTTATCCCATTCAATCAAAGACCTATCTCTTGAGGCATAGGAAAACTTTTTGAAACTTTGATGAAGTATGTTTTGAAACTTATACTACTATCAGGCTGCAGAAGTATGAAGGAACAAATTGTACAGGCTTTTTTTTCCACATTAACTTGTAAGAGTAATTGATACAAAATTGATTCCTAAATCCAAGCTGTGCCATTTTGCTTTATTCTCTTTTTCAAATGAAGAACCCTTTGTATGACAATGCACATTGAAGCACTGCACAGAGATGCCTACATCGCAGTAGTCAAGACGACTAGTTCAAGATGAGCAGATATTATGGATAATGTCACGTGGAGTTGTTCACTTAAGTGCATTTTACTGTATCTTTGCATTCACATGAAGTGTAACAGCTGTTAAATTCGAGGTAAGCACTACAGTGACACAGTTAAGTTGTTTCTGGAGTTCACTGGGTCTGAAACCCTCAGAAGTCTTTTCAATTTTACCATGCACAAGAATTAGCTATGGAATTTTTCTAAGCATAATGCAAGCCATATACACTGTCTCTGAGAGTATCCATGAACAAGTCAACTGAAATTTTAAGAGGACTGTCTGGAAACAAGTATGAGTTGTAATTCTTGATACTTACTTAGTAAGATGCCGACATAATACCTCTTTACAAATTGGCTGTTCAGCCAAAGTCAGCCAAAATTCACATGCCTCCAAAGCCACATTTTCATCTTGGTCCTGGGTCCTTTGAAGCATGTACTACAAAATATAAAATAAATTAGTTGTATAAAATAGAACCTTTATGTTAGAACTTCTTAATTAGCAGCTCAAAGAGCATCTCAGGAATGTAAAATAACATTCTTTATCCTGGTTACAGTCAGCACATCCCAAAAAGTGACAGCTTTAATGTGTAAAATGGAGCAGTTACAGCACTAGTGCTAGATTTTTAACATAATTTTTGCACTTAGGGTCAATGCCTGGCTGTGATCCCAGCCATTTAGGGATAATTGACTTAATGAAGAATAAACAACTGCCATATGCATTGCCTTCAAACACAATGTCAATTTGCAATTAGATAAGAAGAATGTTTTGCAATGTCCGTCTTAAAGGGAAACAAAGAGCTAGCAAGTGCAAGAGCAACACACCTGTTCTGATGAATACATTTTATTTATTATTTCTGAAATGTCAAACAGGGGAATCTGCGGAACATCTAGGAAATGAGACTCACCTCAACTATACTAATCATATGAGGAAGCAGGCGATCCATTCGAACTTCCAGCAACATTACAAGAGCACGGCAAACATTTTTGCGTACTTCAGGCTCCTCATCACCAGCCAGTGCAAAAAGATTCTGTTGGAAAGTAGTAACAGTTGAAAAACATCAATTCATCAAGTTCAACTTGTATTAGAATTGACATTACTGGCTGACTAAAGGAGATAGTTACACCTCTATACTTGCCCAATGCACACCTCAGAATACTATTTTATTTTTTAAAGACATATGGGTTAGCAAATTGACTCTTCAGCCTCTCAGTGTATATTTTATACATAAATATGACACTGTGTATTAACACTTGTACAAGAACAGTACTTCTGGATAATATTTACTCTTAATATAAATTGTGTCAGTACATAAAAGAAGCAAATAAAATACTCTAGACAAGCTGGAACCTTTTAATCCAAGTTCAGTAACAGTATTCAGACAGGCAGATAGGCCCAGTGACATGCACTTCCCAGGACAGGTAAGGGACAGACTGCTGCCATTACCTGTGCACCTTTGCACAACAAGAGTTCTCCCTACTTAGGAAAAGGAAACATCTTTTGAAATACATCTACTTCTTTTGCTCACAGTGTGGTTAGCTCTGAGCACAAGCATACAGAGTGAACTTGAAGCCATGGGGGCTTAAGCTAAAAATGGGCAATGAGAAATGGAGAGTTTAGGGGTAGAGGTGGTTGTAAAATGTAGTTGAAACCTCTTGATAAATCCGATAGATAATTTGACTTAAACCTCCAACCAAGAATACACACCCACCTCAATAAAAGAATCTATGTGCAACATAAGAGCTTGAGTTCTGCTGATGATAAATTGGTTGACACATGCTACTGCATGAGACCTACAACAGAAACAGTTAAAATATATGTTTGAGTTAAAAACATTTTTAAAGTGTACTCAGGCATTAAAAGCATAAACCAAATATCTTCAAAGGCAAGAGAGAACAAATCTATGCATCTCTAGCATTACCAACAAAAAAAATACTAAACTACATTTTAAGTACTGCCTTATACTCTGATATACCTAATAAATATTTAAAAATAAGGTATTCAGTAAATAGGCTACAATGACTACAGCTGGCATATTTTTTCTGAACAGTATTTATGTTGTTTTTTAGCACTTTGTGACTGAGATCTTCTTGGAATATAATAATTCCATACAAGTCAATATGGCAGTATTTTAGCTTGACCTTCTTCGCTGTTAAGTATGCAACCATCTTTGCAATATGTTTGCAATTTACTGAGACCAGAATGAGTTCACAATATAGATGTAGCTTAGAATAAAAATACACTTGTAGTTGGATACATATGAAAACACTTGTGGAACAAACATTCCAAGAAATGAAGCATTGTTCTCCTATTCCATTTCATGCAAAGCCATCATTACAGGTCTTTTTCATTCTCAGACACAAAAGTCAAATTCTCAAGGCAGAGGCACAAGGCAAAACTACATGTAGAACCCTTTGAAGATTCATGATAGTATTTTTACTACTGTAACTTCAAATTTCCATTCTGTTAAGACATTCCTTGGAGGACTCTGTCATAAAACATTGTTCAAAATTTGTCTTTTGAGAGATTTAAAGTATTGCTGACAAAACTAGTCTTCTTCACACCTCAGCACCATGTACTGAAATTAGGCTGTGGGTAAGCAAGTAGCCTTTAAACTTGAAACTGATTTAGGTGTCAAAGCCATGAACATAGCAACACAGGAAAAAAGTGAAAGACTGTACAGTGTGGTAGGAAAAAAGCATGTTTTTCTGCCTCTCTCCCAACTCCAGAGAATTATTAAGTTTATCTTTCCACAAAACCAAGTTCACACTTAATTTCATAATTTTCTTAGTGAGCATCTTTTATAGATGACTTTCTAAATTTTCAAAGAGAAGATAAAACACATTTCACAGCGTCACAAAGAATCATAGAATGATTAAGGTTGGAAAGCACCTCTTAAAGTCATCTGGTTGACACCTGTGCTCAAGCAGGGCCACCTACAGCCAGTTGCCCAGAACCACATCCAGCTGGCTACTGACTATCTCCAAGGATGGAGACTCCATCACCTCTTTGGGTAACCTGTGCCAGTGACTGGTCACCCTCCCAGCAAAAAAGGTGTTTTCTGATATTCAGAAAGAACATTCTGAGTTTCTGTTTGCAGCTACTGCCTCTGCTTCTGTCACTGGGCATGACTGGAAAGAGCTTGTGCATTTTTTTTTCCCTCCCTCTCTTAAAGTATTTACATATCTTGGTGAGTCCCAACTCTCTTGGCCTTTCCTGATATGGCTCTTTGCTGGAGTCTTTCCAGTATATCCATGTCTCTCTTACACTGAACAGTCCAGAACTGGACATGGTACTTCAGGTGTGATCTCACCTGGAAGATGAAGGGAAGGATCACCTCCCTTAAACCAGCTGGCAATACTCAAGCCCAGGATACCATTAGCCTTCTTTGTGGCAGGGGCACTCTGTTGGCTCAGTTCAGGGTAAAAGCTACAGTTCTTTGTAATGAATATTAGCAGCGACAATTTAATTCTAGAATTTTCCTTTTATATGGCTACTTTGGAGAGATTAACATAGTTTTACAGTGACAGGTACAATGAATCAATTTAATTTGATTCTGCTGGAATTTCAGTTAAATGCAGAATTTTTTCTTCTGTCAGAACTCAGAAACTTTTGTCAGCAAAAGAATTTTTACTCTTCCATTGCTGAAGCCATTACAAAAGTAATGTAAAATTGTTATTTCTAATCATAATAATAAGTTCTAAGCACAGCACTGAACTTTTGTAATAATATGCAAAAACTTAAAAGAAGCTATTTGATTTTCAGAGTTATAGACGGATTGTATGAAGAGGTGAGATTTTTGTATTAACTATGAAAAAAAACAGGAAAATTACTGATGCATGGACTCTCTGTGGGTCTCTGCAGGATTATTTAAAAAAACTAATCAGGCTTTAAACAGATCTACAAAATAGTAGCCTTGCTGCTAATGTAAATAGAATTTTAGCAGGTAACTGTAAGTACAACTCATAAACCTACCGTATTTTTGGACTGCTGTGCTTGAAGAACTGTAAGAACTTAGGTATCATGATATTGAGTGGCCGGTCCAACACATCACTATCTAAAATTTCAGCGGAATCTTCACATATCTTCTGAAGAGCACCAAATGCACCCTGTTTAAAAATGAATGAACAAGTAAGCATTTTCTTTCACATTCTGAAGAAAACAAAATTTAAGACTTCGTATAGAATGGGTAATGCCAGCACAACACAGTAAATGTAGCTAGTTAATAGTGTAAATGCAGCTAACTAATTAACTAACTAAATAAATTGAAATAGTCTAAAAGGCATTTTAGTTAAACCAGCATCTGAGCATCTGTCAGCTCTCAAGGTGGGAGAGTCAGCAATGACTAAATGATAATTTTAGTTTGATTTGATGCTTATCTATCTAAATATATTTCAAAGAACAATTAAAAGCTAATTTTTATTTGAGAAGTAAGTAGAATGAGCAGAGGTATCCAAACTAATTGCACATATAATTGTATTTCTTTTAATAATTCACTATGGGACAAAACAAAGATGATGGTCAATGTGAGTTTCATTTTCAAATGTGGGGTTTTTTTCCCAAGAAGAAGAAGAAGCACAAAACCCTACACAACAACATGGTATCTTGGAACATTAGTCATCTCTGAGGTTCACTTTATACATGTTTCACACTTCCATGGAGATGTTAGCAAGTACTTCAAATCGTGTGATCCCAATCTTTTATTTTTTTACATCAGACATAGCTTTTTATTTTTTCTGTTAGTTTATAACTGTTATTTACTTATTTCCCTTCGTACAGACTAAACAAAACAGTTCATTTCATTTTGATATAGGAATCGATCATTCTTCCAGGTTAAGTTACAAGAAGAATGAACACTACTTTTATATAAAACAAAATTCAACATCAGCTTAATAATGCTAATGGTGCCTAAAAGAGTAGGCATCACACAGCAGTAATTTCAGGACACTTCTGAACTGAGATAAGCTGATTATCCATCTGGAATCTTATTCTTCTTTTATGCAAAGAAAATCAGTTTGCTTGAATGAACAGTAAGAACATGGATCACAGGTAGAAGAAAAAGAATCAAATTTGAGCCACCATTCTGCAAGGAGAACAAATGGGTATGTATAAATACAGACATACACACAATACATATACATAGTGCCTCTGAAGAGAGAAAGAAATAATGAAATTCAGATGATTCTCTTCTACTTTCTATAAATCTCCTTACCTCACAGGTATTGTAATCTTCAGAATCCAACAGGCTGCAAAGCTTTGGCAAGAGTTCAGGCCAATTCTGTAACTCCCCTTTTGAGGCAATGGTCGTTATCAGAATGCCTGAAAGAAACAGAAGAATGGAGAAAATGAGATCTCACATGCTTTCACTTCTTTCATACACATTTTTTGTACTTTTCTCAAATATGTAAAGAGCTCAGAAAGTTATGGTTTTGTTAAGAACTGGCATGCATAAAAAGAGGAAGTACATTTAATTACAAATGTTATTTTAAGGGCTTTGAACAGCAAAGGTGCGTTTCTCCTTCCAGCTGCCATGAAGGGCTCCAGTATTAGAAATCAAGCACCAAGTAACTTCAGTTAAGGAAATTATAAATTACAAAATTTATATATATGTACAATTTATAATTAATAACACAGCAGGGCAGTTTTGGCTCTAAATTTACCAAACACTGTACAAATCTGGACTTTTAATAAATACAGAGTATCCACCCAAAGTCACATCTTTTTTTACTATGATACGAACATGAATTTGGGAATCTGTCATTCAATAAACTTACAACCTAGTGATAAATTACATATTCACAGCTTTACTGTGTTTACACAAAACAATAAGGACATCTTCTAAGACCAAGATATCTACTAAGAGGTTAAACACTATGGTAGGTCATCCAGTTAGGAGCTGTGAGAGCCAGCAAACAGACAGGTCAGAATCACTAATTCTGTTTCCAGCACATAAAGAAATCCTGGGAAAAACTAATTAGGTGACAAGGATAGAGAAAGCTACTTATAAAATAGGACTGAATTTGTATGAGTCCATTTTGCCTCAATGCAAAATGTAACAACTAGCACAATCCTTTATGCTACTGGCAGTTACTTCTAATAAGTAGAAACACAGAAGAACTCAACACTACTACGACTAGTAATCTCCCAAGCAAAAAGTGATGGAAAAAGTTTCCCAAGCTTTTTCCATGAGCTACGCACAATATATAATTTTAATTTGGAATAAAATGCTAAAATTCTTGTTAAATACAGAAGAATAAAGTACAACATTACAGAGCAAAGGACATCCTGGACAGGACACACAGAAACTAATAAATATTTTGCATTATTCCTTTGATGCAATGTGCTGGATCTTTTAAGGTCCTAGAACTGGTTTCAGAGATTGAAGTGGTCTGGCATGCAATTCAGACCATACGTGTCATTACAAACTTTCTGTACAGATGGTGCTTTGCCTCTGTAACTTCTGAAGCTGATTTCTGAACTCTTTAACTTTTAAATGCTAAACTTCATAACAAAATTCCCCCTTAAAGGGCAATTGTTAGCTTTCAATTTTCTCCTGCAGTGAATCTCTCCAGTTCCTCCACTGCTTTCAAATACTGAAACTATTTTCCCTCCTTGTTTTCAATCAGGAGCTATATTAAGGTCGTGACTAGACTAGAGTGCCTAGAAAGTTTTAAGAACAGTTGCAGACACTTTCTTAAGAGACGTATTTATATGCTGGTATATTTGTGGGTCCTCAACAAAGGCAGCTTGAATCTACATTTCAAAATTTGCACATGGGGTTTTAAAATCTATACCACTGGTTAACAGCACTGAGAAGATACACTGTGCTACTCATTTGGAGATTAGAATAAAGATAAGCTAAGTAAGGATAAAACAATGTGCAGTTATCATTTGGTCTCAAGTTATGTGCTCATTCTCCTCAGCAAGGTGACTTCTGAAGATGCGATTAACCAGCTTGTCTCTATCTGGGCCAAAAGGTACCTTCTGTCTGATTAGCACTACATATTAGAGACCACAAAGAAGAGTGAATACTGCATTAAATCTTCTCTGATGCCATTTTGATGTTCTTGCTCTCAGAATTCCTGAGATATTATTTGCAACTGACTCATTAAATTGATAGTGCTTGAACTGCAAAAACATGTACTCATCAGAAACAGCAGCTCTAATCTCCACCTGCCAACTCATGCTAAGAAGGCAGTCCAGGTAGGTAGTACCTACTAGTACCAATAATCCAGTGGGTACTGGACCAAGGTCAGACAGCTACAAAGATCCAGCAATTCAAACACAAAGGTGCCGAACACATGCAAAACCGTAACACTTAATGCAAGCATGTAGTTCATCAGCTGCTACTCATCTTCAGAGCTCATATATGTCTAATAATCCCGGCAGAGATCACTTGAAGCTGAACAGTAATTAAGCTACTAATCCACAAGCATCTCCTATCAGGAAAATTTAAAGAGTAACTGCTTGAAAACTAACAACCCCTAACTCCCTCAAAAAAATACTCCACAGACCAATACCAAACAACCCTAAGATAGTGAACCAAATGGAGCTGGAATACATTCCTTAGCTAATTGCATTGTACTCCACTGAAAACTCTTATAAACAAAGAAGTAAGTATGACTTCTACAACCTGAAATTCAAAGAGTACCTGCCGCTGAAAGACTTATTTCTACTCTCATTAGGAACATCAGTCATTAATAGAATTCATAGTAAAGCAGCTTCACAATTGGCAAGACAGCAGGAAATTACTCAAAGAAATGAGTAATTTTCTCTAGTCTTTAGTCTATAACCTGAATGCCTGGAGAAGGAATCCTATAGAAAAAGCAAATTATTCTAAATAGTAACTGGTAGATTATTTTATAAAAGGAGACATCTGAAAGAATCTGAACTTCTTTCTGAACTGACACCCATACCCATTTTCAGAACTCAAATCCATGTTACATTTTACTCATCTTTGAGCAGACCAGGAAAATTACTACAACATTGGAGGAAATCATATTATCAAAGAATGGACAGAAAAGCAACTTTATCTTGAACTAAGTAAAAAAATACAAATATACGTATTTTATGAAAGCTGTATATGAAGACAAAGTATTTACGAAATCAAAAATTTATGTAACACATAAAACTTCTCACGGGAACTAGATCATCTTTAAGGTCTCTTCTGAAAGCATTTCAAGATTTTATAATACTATGAAGTTCTGTATACCACACTTACCTATTGTTTTCTGACAGAAGCTCTTTACATGAATGCCTTATGTATGGTATGATGATGTGCACATGTGTATGTATAGAGGGTGGGATGTAGAAAATCAGCTAACAGAAGCATTTCATTGATACAATCAGAGCACTGCAATAGTTTTTAAATCAGGCCTTTATCGTGTTCCTTTATTTAGGTATATAAGCTGGCAGCAAGCTCAATTTAGGAAGATTCAGATCTTACATTTCAAGAAAGATGAACTGAATTGCTACATCACTTCTAAGATAACAGGAATCTGAAGTATGACATCTCTATATCCACAATAAAGAAAAATTTCATTGAAGCATGGTGAGCTTGCGACAGTTATAAGAAACAAAAAATTTTACTAATTTAGTAACTCTTTATGTCCCTAATACAGCTTTCATCCATATCAGAAACATCTTCAGTATGCAGAGGGCAGCATTAAGAACAAACTTACCTACAGTAGCTCTAATTAAAGGGGAGGAATCACCAATGTTGTTCAGACATTCACTTTTAATGAAGTCAGTTACCCCATTTGGAAAGTTATGAAAATGTGCTTTTACATTATTCTTCAAGATAAGACCACTCAAGGAACGTGTTGGCTCATCTGCAACAGAAAGTGATAACAGTCAATCTTCAATCAGCTCACAGAAAAAGTCAGATTTCCAGAACAATGCCACAAGATCAAAGCTTATATACAGATATTAATCTTAATTTCCTTATGTCTCTTTCCAGCTACACCCATCAATTCACCTAGGAAAACTTTTCAGGTTCAGAGTACACAAATTAATTACCAAGCATGTAAAGTTCAACATGGGTAGTGCCAGATTCTGCAGCTGAGGATGGAGTAAATAGTTGAGGATGTGCAGATAGACTGGGAAATCAGATGCTGGAAAGCAGTACCACAGAAAGGGTCTCGAGGGTCCTGGCTGATGGCAAGTTGAACGTGGTCAGCAGTGCCCTGGCAGCCAGGAGGGCCAGCCGTGTCCTGGGGACATCAGGCACAGCACTGTTGTCCCAGTCTGCTCTGCACTGGGGCAGCCTCACCTCGAGTGCTGGGGGCAGTTCTGGGTGCCACAACAGCCTAATGTAAGGCTAGAGAGTGTCCAAAGGAGGGCCATGAGGATGGTGAAAGGCCTTGAGGGGAAGCTGTATGAGGAGCAGCTGAGGTCACCTGGTCTGTTCAGCCTGGAGGACACTGAGGGGAGACCTCATTGCAGTCTACATCTTCTTCTTGTGAGGGGAAGAGGATGGAGAGGCACTGATCTCTTTTCTGTGCTGACCAGTGACAGGACCCAAAGGAATGGCCTGAATTTGTGTCAGGGGAGGTTTAGGTTGGATATTAGGGAAAGGTTCCTCAACCAGAGGGTGGCTGAGCACTGGTAGGGGCTCTCCAGGGAAGCTCTAACAGCACCAAGCCTGACAGAACTGAAGAAGCGTTTGGACAATGCTCTTGGGCACATGGTGTGATTCTTGGGGTGTCCTGTGCAGGGCCAGGACTTGGTGATCCTTGTTGGTCCCTTCCAACTCAACATCTTGTGTGATTCTGTGATACATTGTTTCTGTTTATCCAAAGTTAGAATATTGGACTATAAACTTTACATTTTAAGAGAAATTTTTTAATAGACATATAAGCAAGGAATAGATCTGAAGTCATATGATACAAGAAACTCTGCTAAAGATGTTTGTCAGGCAAAGACATTCAGACAGTCTGATTATATTGACAGGCTTGCTGCAATACTGTTACTGTTACTGTAAGGAACTGGTGACAAACCCAGCTTCACCACAGTAGGATATGGAAATGATGTAGGGAATGTGCAGTAAAATCTCTACCCCTACTCCCACATGAATATAATGTTCAATTTTTCTATGAAGTAAGGACTTCAATCCCTTTTAAAATGCAAAATGCTGATCTATTAAATTAGTAATTAGAGGAAGCAGGAAAAAAATCTTTAGCAATGTTAACAGGAACGTGTTACATAGTATGAGCTAAAAAATAAATGCAACCAGAACTGACCTGAATTGAGTAAGAATTTAAGTTCAAGTAACAGTATGAGTTCTGTTCGCTGAGCTTTCTCTAAGTTACTGGGACAAGTTGAGTAACGGAAAAAGAATGGTCTAGATTTTTCATTTATAGTGGAGTAGATTCGTGTTTTGTTCTTAACAAAGGGAATGAGTAACTTGGTATTACATCTGACATATGCTGAAAGTGAAAGATCTGAACCCTTTCTCTATAGAAAGGGTTAGTTTACAGTATAAACAAATTTAAATTTAGTTTAGAGCAACTGTAGTAGCACTAGAAGCTAATTTTAATCAGCATTTTAGTCACTTGTTGAATTTTTCTAAGAAGCCCTGATTTTGGCAAAATAAGGAATTCCTTTGTGCCATGAAGTAGTCTACACATGGGTTTATTCCAGTCCTTCAAAACTATTATTACCTAACAGAAATAAGCAAAATAAGAGATACAACTATCAAATATAAAGTAATTTCAAACTAAAGATACTGCATGACAAAACCAAGACTCTCACAACACTGCAATGTCTCACTGACAGATGACTGACAGATATTGGACACTTTATATCAGAAGAGAAACAGAGCTTTTCAGAAGATAGGGGATTGTTCAGCTGATCAGAAATTAAAATTAATTTTATTCAACTGATTTTGAGTATTAAAACCAGAGTGCCTTCACAGTCTTTTTAATCTTGTCTTTTATGTACATATTTCAGTTCTAAAGAACCATTAGTTAGAATGCCCTGGAATACAAAGGTATTTATATAGAAACAAACATGTCCTTTAGAATTCAGTAACTTTATAAATGAGGAAGCCATCCAATGAATACATATTTAAGGCAATTCTATAACTTTCCCTATGCTATATGATTTAAATACCAACATTAAAAAATAAAACTCGTTTCACTTGCACAGAACTACATTTGCCAGCACCTCTTCTGGGAGAAGGAGGGGAAAAGAGGGTTTGTTATTTTAAATAAAAAAACTAAAGACTGTATGCGGGGACAAACTTTTCTCAGCTTCACAACTTAGCTGTGAGCCATCACAAGTATTACTGTAGCTACTTCCCAAGTCAAATCAAGTAATTTTGAGATAGTCTCTAAATCAAAAGTAAAATCTTCACATCAATTCTTGCACCAATAATGTTGAACTCTGACTGCTTTACATAACTGTCATCCATTGGTAGATACACACACCTTTAAGAAATTCAGTCATTCATACATTATTATGATGATTTAAAATTGTGCCTGGGGAGAAAATAAGCCAAAGGAGTCCTTTAATTTACATGTTTTAAAACTTCTGCAAACCACAAAAACCCATTTATCTTTAACAGCCACAGACACCAAATACAACAGTTACTATAATTCTTTAACATCTAGCACTATCTTCTTGGCATGAATGAAATCAGTGACAACCAAAGCCTGATCATAATATAGTAGATTAGTCACTATTAGGATAAACTTTAGAATGAAAATATTAAACACTGCATTATGGAAAAACATTAATCCATTAGAATGCTTGGCTGCATCTATAAAAGGGACAAAGCAACAGCCTCAGTTTAACCACGCAGAGATACACACATTATTAAGTTACTTCTGTCAAAACCAGACAGATTAATGAACCAGTTTAGATAAAAACGAAGATCACATGCAGGTGAAACTTCAGGACCATTTTTTTTCTTCACAAATTATTCTGTGGTATGCAGCAGTATGAAATATCTTTAATCCATTCTTTTAGGCAAGAGAACCGAAAAACTATTCTTCATAGAAAGTGATTATCCTACATATCTGCAACAAAGATTCCATGGGATTCATAACGAAAGTGGTATCTCTGACAAATGAAAAATAACTAACAAAATGAGAAAAAGAAGAATTTTTTTTAAAAAGCAAAATCAATTATCAACGGTTTCAGAGGTGACAAGCAGAAATCACAAAGGACTTTGTGCTAAACACCAACCACCTGAGACAGAGAAGTGGCCCAGAATGTGATATCCAAGCATTAAAATAAACAAACATATAACACTGCATCTTAAGGTGTTTATTTAAGAAAAAATTTCATATGTAACTGGACAAGGTTATTTATGGATGTTCAACAACTTAATAGCTACACTGTCAGAAGATAGTAATATAGGTCTGGATGGAATTCTTGCGGTAACACCAAAATTACAGGCAGATAGCTTAGGAGCTCACTAAGACACCCCTCAGTCTCCATAGATTTTGTGATTAGTTCTGTCAGCCATATGCTTCTCCCATCAAAAAAGCTCACAGTCTTGTCTCCTTTTGTCTCAGTCAACTTGGAAGTACAGAATTGACAAGAACATATAGTACAAGAAAAAGAAGGCATGTGAAGCAGACCTCTGGTATTTGGTATCATCTTTGGTGTCAATTCAGTTCATCAGTTGAAGATTCCCCTCTCACACTACCTCATTTTAAAATAAAACTGCATAACAATTATAATTCGTTTCTCAGTAAATTTTCAGTTCTGTTTTAAGAGTTTGATACTAGTTCCAAATTTTAGTAATAGACAGAACAAATGGATGCATAGCCATATTACACAGATTATTTTAGGGCTACTGCAGTGCTTTTAAGAACCAAAGTGTGTCCTCAAACAGTCACATTTCCTCTACTGAGGGTTTGTATGACAAACATTGTGTATGTGGAAGCAAAAAGCTTTTTGTAGCCTACCTGCAAGCCCAGGTAAGCATATGCTTCACCATGCCCGTTAGAATCATAGAATTACTTGAATTGGAAGGTATCTTAAAAAGGTTATCTTATCCAACATCCTCACCATGGGCAAGAACATCTTCAGTTAAATCAGGCAGCTCAGAGTCCCATCCAATCTTACTTGGAATGTTTAAAGGGATGAGGCACTCACTACTTTCTAGGCAACCTGTTCCAGTGTTCTACCACCTGCACTGTAAAAAACTTCTTCTGTACATCTAATCTAAACCAACCTTCTTTCTTAAAATCATTACAGCTTGTCCAATCACAATAAGCCTGGCTAAGAAGTTTGTTCCTGTCTTTCCTATAGGCCCTCTTTCAGATATTGAAAAGCTGCAATAAGATCTCCTGAAATCCTTATTTTTTCCATGCTGAATCACACCAGCTCTCTCAACCTTTACTTACTGTAAAGGTCTCAGCTACCTGATGGTCTTTGTGGTCCTCCTTTAGACCTGTTCCATGTCTTTCCCATGCTGTGCCCTTACTTCCACTGTCTGTGCATTTCCTTCCTGCCCTTTAGTTTGATAAGCAGGTCAACATAACTTGCTAGGATTGCTAAAAGAACTGAGTGACTGGGATGAGAACATTTGTCCATTCACAAGCTCTGATATAATGATTTATGAACATGGCTATTATTTTGCTGTGATATCTTGTGATATTGGCTACATTAGATGTGAGGGTGAGACTTTCTAAGGCAGAACTGCCTGTCTATCAATCTTCATCTTAAAGCTGTAAAGTCTTTTTCAGAAATAAGCAGTAATTCTGTGTTTTAACTAACAATATGGGTTTACTATGTAAATATACAAAATGTGTATTGACAGTGACTAGTGTCACTGTTGCACATGAAAATTTCTGATGTAGTAATAAGACTGACTGTT